TTTTGAAACCTGGGATTTAGCAGAAGATGCAGCTACTCCGAAATCTGTGTGTGTTTGCGTTTGGTGCCAATTCCATGCCATTTTACCATGGATGCTACCATACCTGGATGTTTTGTTGCAATATGTGGGAGAAGAAATTGAAGAAATCTTTTTTTTGAAAATTCATTAAAAAGGCACTTCATGAAGAAATTTAACATGACCAAGAAAAAAAGTGTTATCTAGTTTCTTTTCTCTGACTCCATCTGCGATATATCCTGCCTCCTACCTAAGTGCTGCCCTCACCATATGGTTGCTTCTGTTTTTTTCTGCATTCCCCATCTCCGTGGGCCCTGTCCTCGCCTCCTGCTCCACCCTACAGCAATTGAAAATGTCAAGTAGATGTATGCAGTTTTTCTCTTGTTGATATGACACCAATTACAATAATTAATGACAATAAAAAGAGGAAAAAACTAATAATGCAGCAATGTCTTTTTTCAGATGGTGAGACACACAGTTAAAACCGTAGTTAGACATTTTGGAAAATGCATGTATTTCCTTTTGTTCTGTAATATGTAACCAGAGCCAGTCACCTGCTAACATAGCTTTGTTGAAAAGGTTAACACCTTTAAAGCTCACTACTTAACATGTTCCTACTATTTAACACTATCTAATTTGTTAAACCTGTACAAAAATGATGTAAAAATGACAAGTTGTGACTGCTAGCTGAGCTTCATATTTAATGGACAGAGAAGAGAGTGATATTAAATGTCTCTTCCAACTCTAAACAAGAAAGTGAATTAGCTTATTTTCCAAAATTATTCCTTTAATGTGCTTCTGGCTGAATAATTATACACATGACTGCAAATAGAGTCAGAAATTCAGGAATAAAATGGGAGTTTGTGAAAAGTTTATTGTGAAATTGCAGAGGATACAATAAGTTAAGACTTGGGGATAAGTTGGGTGAGGAGTGAATTCATTTTGATGGCCAGTCCTGGGCCAACCCAGCCACTTCACTGACAGATAGACAACCAGCCAGACAGACAGTAAAGTGACAGTTTGGGGGGGGGGTCATCATTATTCCACCTTCCCCTCCATCACTGTTCCACTGTGGAAACCAATGGCGATAAAAAAACAGCGATGTGATGGGAGCTTAGGTGAAGATGAGAAAAGGAACATCTTGTAGGAGGCCGGGACAGCTTCCTGAACAGCCGGAGGAGGAGAGGAGAAAAAAAGCACCATTTGGACATAAGAGGAAAAAAAAGTTTAAAACAAAAGGTTTCAGGAAATGACATCTCATAGTCCTTTGTTCCCCCTGCTTCCTCAAGTAGTACAGGAAACAGCGAGTGGATGTCGCGACACCATGGGGTCTGCATATACACGATGCTCACCACCACAGTGGCAGGGTCCTTACACAGACATGATGTGCTTGACAAAGGCTGCAGATGAAGACCAGAGCAGCACACAGAAGGACAGAAGAGAGGGAAAATGAGTGAATGAGGTATGTATTCCAATAAAGTCAATCAAATGCTAGACATGAATGTTCAAATGCAGAGCTATAAATAAGATGAAACAGCTGAGACATTGTCAACAATGTAATAAAATACAAAATACTCTATCCACTCGAGTGTAATATCTGTAGAAAGTAGAAAATTGACACCTCACTGGTAATTCCAGTGATTTAGTAAAGATGGGGAACTCATCAAACTCCAATAATGCTCAGTGGCATCTTCCCTTTTCAAATTCTGTGCTGCTCCAGAGCCAAAGAAGACAGCAAGTGTGCACAGAGTAGTACTCTCCAGCTAAACTGATATTTATGTTAAACTAGTGCAGTTACCCTTTAAAATTTCATGAAAAATTAGTATCATAGAATATAACAAATTGTTATTTTAGCATATATTGCTCATCATAACATTGTAATTTGTGGCTCACCCTCGTAGTTGATAGAGCCATTCTCATCCTCCTGTCCTGCCATGAGAACATCAACCTCAGCCTCACTCATCTTCTCTCCTGTAGGGGGAGGCAGAAAACACAATATTTATAACACACAGCGACACACATATACAGAGAAATATCCAACAAACCTGGCCTGACTCACCCAGTGTTTGCAGGACAATACGGAGTTCAGTACCCATCACTGTGCCGTTGCCCTCCTTGTCAAAGACACGCAGACCCTCAACATAGTCCTCATATGCTGCCTTGTTTGGGCTATTGACGATGAACTGGAGCATGGGCAGGAAACCCTCAAATGCTACCCTCTTGTGGGCCATTTCTGCATATACGGAGACAGAAATGACAGCCAGTTACATACTGAGGTGAACGGGCCTGGTGGGACTGAGATCACGGGCACCACATGGACAGAATCTTTGTCAAAACAACCTCCATCTCTTTTTGTTTTTCCATATTTCTATTACAGTCACAAATTCTCTATGGGTTTTGAAGGTTCGTGACTGAGCACGGTGAGGTCATTTTAGACAGATACATGTTTTATTTATTTATTTTTGATTGTTTTTCATGTATGATCCTGTGTTTTATTGATTTGGCTGTAGCAAGTACAATGTGACATATCATGGTAGTCATTAATACCATTTTATTTAAAGGTTACACAAAGCAGATTTATCTCTAACTTACGCTTGGACAGACCACATAAGAGGCACAATAATGCTTTTCCATGATTTTACTAAAAGCATATGTGATTAAAAACCTGACTAAATATTGAGTGCACAGTATAAGGATTATAAACCTTAAATGGATGGAAAAGCAGTGTTGCACTGACCTCTATAGGTCAAATCAGCCACACCAACTATCCCAGTAGGAGGTGTGCAGGTATGGACTTTGACACATGTGACCACACCCAACTGTGATGTTGCATTGCATAGTGAGTAGAGTTCAGTGGCGTACTTCACAGGGTGGGATGGTGAATACTGCAGGGTTACAATTTCAACCACTAGCTGGCAGCACATGCTAAATTTTCAGGGTAAATATTCGCCTATTTTCAATGAGCTGACTGATTTCAAAGGAAAGAAAACCAACTAATTTGATTGAGCATCACTGATTCCATCTATAAAAGCAATTACAGGTCATTTCTTTCTCCTATATATCATTATATCATCAAATTTAAATGTAATGAATTGCACTAATCATCCAAACGTTAACCTATTAAACCCTAAAATCACCACACAAATCATGACCTAAATGCCCTAAAAATATCTCTTACCTTCAGCAGAGAGGTTGCCCAAGAGTTTGTTCACCTCCTTGTTGGTGGGGTTCTGGCCCAGAGCGCGCATGAGGTCGGCGATCTGGTTGTAAGCCACCTTGCTGTCACCGACCCTGTCAAACAGACCAAAGGCCTCTTTGTAGTCTGTAGAGTGGAAGGAAGAGAGGATGGCATCACCTTAATATACAGTATCTACTCATTCTGTCATTTCATTAAATAATAATGACTTTAACTGTTGGCTCCCAAGATACCTCTTGTAGAAGTTTAAAACAAACTTGTTGTCAGTGTGCAGTTTTTAGTATTTTCATATTTGTGTAGTTTGTGTTTTTAGAATTAATTGAATTTATTATATTAATGTACTTTACCCGAGTTCACTTGGAGCATATGCAGTTCTAAATATAACAGTGGAACCAACAGTGGAGATGTTTAGTAGTGAAGCAGCCTTTAACATTTCAGAGCTTTGATTTAGCAGTGCATGTTTGATATTTATGTTTTTGAAAAATATTTCATTCATTTTATTTTCTTGCTGAATCGCATATTAATACCTGTGATGTACAATGGCAAGGATTTGTAAGTTCATTAAAATCTTTTGACGTGGGAGCACCCTGGAGGCTAAATGTTATAGTGCGTGCCACATAACCACAATGTACACAGTTCAAATCTGACTGGGTGTTGGTTCAGAATATATTTAAAAGTAGACAAAAGTATATTGTATACATAGATAACACGTCCAGCTTCAAAATGCACTTTGACTTTTAATGGTAATTAACAAAACTGTTTTGTTTTATATCTCAGCGTTTTGAAATTTGCACTTTGTGACTGTTGCACAGCTGCCAGCAGGTGGAGGCAGCTCCTCTGCAAACTGACAAGGGAAATAAGGACAAGACATCTCTATAGGTTGTGGTATTGTGGACTGCATATACTAACTCCTGCCGAGCTCCGTCACTCGTCTATTTCTGTCTCAGCTGTCTCCTTCCTTCTCTCTTTCTTTTTGTCAGCAAGGCCTGTGGGCTCTTTTAAAAGACCACCTTGGCATTTATAATCATAGCTGAGAATATGAGCCCCTCCTTTTAAAGGCAAGGTCCTCTGTGGGCGAGCTGAGTAAAAGTAGGGAGTGCTGACTGCAGCATAACATGCAGTCCAATCCAGGGCCAGCATGGACCAATAGCATGCAGGTGTTTCTTTCTATCAGACACTACGCTATCATTTCACTATTCTGCTAAATAAACCTCATGTATTTCTTCAACAGATCTCTTGGCACATAGTGTCTTATCACTGATCTTGTGACCAACAGTCTCATATCACCAGCAAGCAGACCATAAACAATCTGAGCTCAATATAAAGGCAGGTATTGTTGAATTGATTTGTGACACTTTACCCTTGTCAGTGGTGTGTGGTTAATATGTGATATAATCTAAATGCTTTTCATCCAGAGACCTGCTAATTTCTTTTACCTGCTCTAGTTGAAGGTAATAACTAGTACAATCAGATAGTGTTTGTTTGAAATAAAAGCATATAGATGTTTATCACTGGACGATCACTAGATTATGCTTTAATATATTACACACTTGATTTTTATTTATTTATTTTTTACTAGCAACGCCATTGCAAGTTGACTTTGAGCTAATGTTCACTTTTAAGGGCAGGACAAAGTATTGTTTTAATAATCTCAAACATATTAGTCTTGCATGCAGTGGTTGTTGATGGCTTTTCTGATTTGCCAGACAACGGGCCAAGAGATATTTAAGACAGATCAGTTGAGCGTTTTGGAGTGTGTTGAGTGACACGTGGTTGCAAAGGTAAGATGAGGTTTACATACCTTCAACCTGGTCTTGGGTGAATGTCAGCTACAAACCAAGACAAAGCAGCCATGTAAGTAAAAAACATACAAATGCAAGTATTGTAATCAACAACACAACCACTTTTAGACAAAAACAGTATCATATTCAGGTGTTTCCCACTTAATCTAGACTATTCAATCTGCACTAGAATAAAACGTGTCTCTTTGCCAAAATCTCCTTCACATGGTAGCACTCAATCTGTAGAGGTCCATCTTTAGCTACATTAACATGTCCACATTTGGTGTGCACTGCATTGCCATGACACATTAGTCACCACTGTTAGTCCAATCTGGAAAGCTGTGGGTGTGATCTAAACTTGGTGAGCTATCCATGGTTCTAGTCATTCCCCTCAGTCCTCTGCACAACTTTAAATGCACTCATTCAAACCTGGCTCACTTTTAACTCTGTATCCATTCATACAAATGTGACTACTGTGGTTAAGATTTTATGTATTTGGACAGTGATGTAAAAGTGAAGCTAAGTGAGCATAAAACTTAATATCCAGCTTTTGATCTCCTCTACCATTATCTGTTGTTTGGATTTGAAAGTTGAACAATTAAGAATTGTTTGTGCTGTAGATGATTTTACACCTGCAATCAAAGTTGCCACAGCAGTCCTCTATTGCTCTCACATGGTCTTTCCTTCAAATGTATGAAATAAAAGTGAAGGAACATTGCTTATTCTGCCTGGGGCCCCCTTAAAAAGTCCTCTCCATTTCGTGAACCACTGCAGTAGGTCTACTTCTGTTATGCAACTCTGAGAGTAAAAGTTAAATCCCATGTCTTCCTGAGCAGTCATCATCCCATCTCCACCCCTCCCCAAAGCAGACCACTTAATGCTTTCACGGCCATTGTACCTTGATGGCGGACAGGTCGACAGCGGGTGCAGCTTTAGGAGCAGGGGCTGGCTCGGGTGCCGGTGCCGGTGCAGCTGGTGCAGGTTCGGCCTTCTTGGCAGGCGCCTTAACATCCTTCTTTGGTGCCATTTCAGCTGATAGTAGAGCTACTTTGTTGCTGAAGCACAGACAATTCCCGGTTCGGGTGACAACACAAGGAGTGTAGCACAAAGTGGAGGGGACTCGGAGCAAGAAATCACCGTTTGGCCGTATATATATGGCGCTGTTTTCCCTCTAGACCCCCATCAGCGCTCTTCCCGTGTAACGATTGGATAGCGTGTGGGAGGGCTGTGTGATGGTGGTGGTGGTGGTGGTGGTACGGGTCCTCTCTAAACATGGAATAAAGGTCTGTGGGCCGGAATGTATTTATGACATGCATATACAATCGAAGACGAAAACATAGTAAACGACGTGGAAGGTTACTTGGGGCCACTTGTATGTCCATCGTTGCGCACTGTTACGCACAGTTTATTTACTTGAGGATGATTCAATACTCTCTTGGATAACCAACACTTATCTGCAACTACAGTCGCAAAGACTTTACTAGCATTAGAACCTGAATGGAGCACTGAAGAGAGAGAGAGAGAGAGAGAGAGAGAGAGAGAGCGTTTCTCTACTGAAGAACAGGTCCAATGTGGAGTTTATAAACTATACGCACTCCGTAAAGCTTCAGCTTTTATCTAGCAGAATTTAAAGTTTTAGTGAATGGTCAGACATGCTGGTCATATGCCATCAGCACTGTAGTATCAGTCTGTGACTCTCTGAAATTGGTTTACCTTAAACTATTTTAATATGATTACTTTATGTAACTTTATCTTTTAAGCCCAATACCCAGTCTCACATTGAGAGTGTATATCATAAGACATCATTAACCACATCAGTAAATCAAGTTTAAATGATCTGTGACTGGAGTTCTGCTGGAGTTATCTGTGGCTCCCTCTAACATTCACTGTACTTTATTTTAAATTCTAGTATAAGTCCCAAAGTTTCCATAAATTTAATTAGCCTATATTATCAGGTTGAATTTGGAGAAAATGTGTACAAAAATGCCTATAAAATGATGCACAGTACTGATATTATATATTGTATGTATATAAATGTACTGATGTAATGGTGGAGCATACTAGTTGAACATTTTATTCAGTATAAGCATAATCAAGTCTGCAGTGAAGTGCTGAAACAAATGTATAGTATATGTATCAGTGTCAAATGATGTGAAGAGTGAAAGAAGAAATAAATAAAGTGCAAGTTTTTAGAATGACAGCCTTGTATCGTAAGGACCAGCCTTTAGATGGGCAAGAAGCAGAATGGATGTCTTCGAGATCTAACAATGAGCCATTGTTTATTTCTAGTCACTGACAGTGTGTAGTGCCTGTGTACATTTTGAGGCTCTGTGTGGGGAGAGCAGTCATCAACACTCCAGGGGAAGGTGTGATGTAAAAGTACAGGGAGCTGGAGATCCAGTGGGGCTTTCAGCTGCTGATGCCAGTAACCCAGACAAGGCTAAGAGTGCAATTCTGTCTCCTTAGTCCTTGTCTATATCTGTCTCCTAGTGCCATCGGTGCAGCCCTACCCCCACCACCATGCCAAGGACCTGGTGACGGAGGAACTGCATAAATTCCCTCCACCCCCAAACCCCCTTTGCTTTCACTGCCCCCATCTCCACGAGGGCAAGCCAGAGAAAGCCTCAGTCCCTCAGCTGTCATCTAGGCTCACCGCTGGCACCCGACTGCACCTTCTCCGAGTCTGACTTCCCTTCACTCCCTCCCTCTATAGAAACTCTGCCCCGGTCCCTGCACCTGTGCTGCAGTCAAATCTGAGATCCACTATAAAATCTTAATGGATTCAACAGCATAAACAGCATAAGACATGGTGGCAGGTCACCTTGGGTAAAGAAAAAAAGAGATTGTGATTAAGTCTATTTTGCAATCCAGTGTTGCAATTAAGATTCCATGACAAATACAAAAATTACTTTTCAGACAGTTTGTTCTTTATGCAAACAATTTTCTAAAAAGCTTTATATACTGTTACTGATACATCACATTAGTAAATGATAAAGATAAATGATCAATGTCAAGCACTTTTGCATAAGTCATAGGCTATTGAAGATGTGAGGTAAGACCTTTTGAAGGGGGAAGGGGGTTTCAGCTGTACAGTACAGGGCATGGCAGTGACACATGCCGCATGAAGATCAGTTTCAGTAATGATTTTAGGTGACCACCACTGGTATCTAACAATCACTCAGATTCACAGCGAGGAAAGAGGAAGCAGAATTTAACTTTAAAAAATGTTATAAGAGAGAGGCTGTAATTTCCTGTTGATGTCTGAAGACCATTTTGGGTTGGGGTTACCAGCATTATCAAAGACATGTCATTCAAGGAGATGCCTTGCTACATCTCTTATCAGAAATGCAGTTTTCAATGCACCCACCTTGGCCAGGACTCCCTGGAAGAAAAGATTTTGTATCTCAATGGGACCTTCCTCATTAAATACAGGATAAAATAAAATAATGAAGAAAGGAGAATATTCCTTTGTGCACAATGAGCTATAGAAGCATAGCCAGTCTACCACAGTGGTGGCACCATATTAAATCCTGCATTACTGGTCCTGCTTAGTACAGAAACAACATCTAAGACAAGCCATGACTTATAACACTACTTTTGCCTTGCTTCTGTGATAAGCCATAGTAGCATTTAACAGCTGAAATGTCACCATGCAGAAGTCCAGTGTTAACGTTTTGTACAAGTTTCAAATCTGATGACACTCATTGCCTATTCAGTTAGTATAGTTTTATGCACAGTAGAGTGAAGTCAGGTAATTTAGGACACTTTTTGGTAGATTAACAAGGTCACCTACAGTTCTTAAGTCTACCGTAAGGATTATGTTTAGAACTCATTATTTGCCAAGTAAAATACTTTTCTCCAGGAAATACACACAGGAAAGAAAACAACTCTTTGGAGATGTACTTACAGTAGCTATGTTTTGAGCTAAATGCTAATATTAGCATACAGTACATGCTCACAGTGAAAATGAAAACAATTTTATTTAAAAAGAATTATGTTTACTATGTCCACCAATATAATTTTGCATGTTAGCATGCTAGGAATTGATAATAAACATGAAATTCAAAGTACAACTGCTGCTGATTTTGCAGAGTCATAAATTAAAGTATTGGACAAACTAGAAATTTTAGTTGGTGAAAAGTCAACAAATATCCAAAACCGTTGCAGTTCATCCTGAGGGGAACATGAATTTGTGTGCCAGATTTGATTACATCCAAGAGTTGCTGAGACATCTCACTTAAAATCTGAAATTTCAACCTCATGATGGTGCTAGAGGCAACACAAGAGAATGGTGTTAGATCAAAAGTCATCACTAAATCATCAAAAGTTGTTTACTGGGCACCATGAACATTTGTACCAAGAGTAGTCTATTTTAATCTGAATCGATGTGGAGGACTGGCCAAAAAGCCCACCAGTATCCTTTGAGACAAGCTGCTAGCATGGCTAGTGTAGGTGCTGTACCTCTGTAACACCCATTTTTAATGGATGTAAGGCTGAGTGAGAAAGGGATGAAAGAATGAAGCTAATATTAGTATGAGGGCTACTATTCTTACTCAAAAGGGAACACATTGCTTAAAGCTACAATATGGAGACTTAACTTAAGGTAGCACTAACATGAAACTCCAAATCAATCCACTCTGCTCCGCCCAGCACTCCCTCTCCCCGCTCCACTATGCTCTACTACAGTCTGCTACGCTCCGCCACACTCTGCCCAGCTCTTCAGATATGTGTTGTTTTGAAATTACAATAGTTGAGAATGTAACAAAACTTAATGATCAAGCAGAAAAAAAATGTCTGACTGGTGAGATGGATCAATCCTATTCAAAAGCTTTTAGAAGCTAATATCTCTGCATTGCTGCCAGTGCTGTTCAATAAGTCTGGGTTACAGGAGGCTTCAGCAGCACCTGTTCACTTTAAGACACACTTTGGTGAATAGTTCTACAACAAAAAGTTTTGGAAAAAAAAAATCACATGGTGTAGCTTTAAGATATGCAAGGTGACTAGTTAGTAACCTCTTCAAAGTTCAAACAATACTGATCCATAAATATCCTAGTTGGGACCAAGACTGTTACTGACAGCTGTCAGAGCTGTTGATATTTCTTACTTGACCTGTGTTCTTTTTTTGGCAGCCTGGTCTTCCAGTTGGCCAACATATATTTTTTTTCAAGCAATCATAGGCTTTCATTTTTCCTTTAATGTAATTAAGCCATATCCTTAATTGCTTATCAATACATAGTGGTAGAAACTAATTTTAGCACAAATATGGGTAGCTGTGTAGGCTAATATCACCTTCTGTATGCTACCTTTTATACAAAAAGGTTTTAAGTTAGACAGCATCTGTCTCCCCACAAAATGTTTACAACATTATTATGGATCTTACTTTGTGCTGGATGGTTATAAGATCAAGTGAATCATCATTGGCAACTACTGAGAAACTGGAAATGTCTAAGCACAGGTAAACACTAGTGGGATACAATAACCAGGAGTACAAAATAGAATCGAACATATGGGGTTTATTCAAATAAAGTGATATCATTAGCCATAAATGATTTTAATTTGCATGAATATTCAGGAGGAATTTTGCAGCCAAGAGAGCCATGCTGCAGGCAGCAAATGTTTAGGCCTTAGTCAACTTCATCAGCTGAAGCTTTTTTGAATCGTGACAGTTCATGGCAGATTTATTTAGCAAGCTAATATGTTTGGATCTGTCTTATCTGTGTTACCTCCTCACCCCCTACAGTAGCTTTGCCATTGCATTTCATAATATCACCTCCAGGTCTGCTTCAGGACAGGCGCTATAACTGTCCTCTCTCAGGAATGACGATGTGCCCTGAATCACAGATGCCTGCTTATTACTCTGCATCTCTTAGAGTCACCCTCCACTTCACAGTATTTTTAACTTGGATCCCAATGCAAACTCTTACTAAACAGAAGAAATGTCATCCATGTTACCAAAACTAGGACTAAAATATCAGCCCTGAAACTGAGTTGTGCAGTGAAGATTCCACCAAGAAAGGAACTGATTTACTTAAGAGTACTGTTATTCCAAGCATGCTTAATAAAATGTAAAGAATTTGTAAAGAAAAAAAAAAGAGCTCAATGTGGTGTCAAATTCCAAAGATGGCAGAGGCTCCCAGATCACTGGCGTTGTGGAGCATCATGAGGGCTGCTGTAGAGAAGGAAATGAGAAACAGCACTGATGAACTTTCTTTGCCACAACACGTGGGGCAGAGGTTGCCCAATCAGTCAACTGTAACGATTAGACAGTAGATTTTGAACTCTGGTTCTGTCCACCACCTCCCTCTTTTCAAACCCAGAGTGCTTCCTTCCTTACCCTCCAACTGTGCCAAAAGGAACGAGGCTGTAACTGAGCCTGCAGGGACAGATGGAGCCTATTTATAGTTCCTACAGGGAGGTGTGAAGTTTCTTG